GGTCTAGGAGGTGAGGAGCAGGAGCTCTCTGAGTGGACACTCACACGCACAGCACAGGGAGATTTGTTGTGAAGAATCTGCAAAAGCCCTGGAACAGGGGAAGGGTCCAGGCCCTGCAGAGGTCACACCTGGGACCTTGGGGCTCCCATAAAAGTGGGGTGCGAGCCTGTCAGGGAGGAGCAGTAGCCCCTCGGGAGCTGAGGCCTTGCAGAGGGAGCCCCAGGCAGGAGGCACCTGCCCCACCCTGCACCTGCTCCTGGCTGTGCTCTGTGCTCTGATCTTCCTGTGCCTCTGCTGTCCTGGGCCCCTGGGGTGCTGACAACACCCCAGAAAACATGCCCAGCACCCTCCTGTCCCTGCAGGGTTTGTGTCTGGGCTCACACCTGCTCCCCTCACTGTGTGTCTTGCACAGTAATACAAGGCTGTGTCCTCGGGCTTCAGGCTGTTCATCTGCAGATACAGCGAGTTCTTGCCGTTGTCTCTGGAGATGGTGAATCGGCCCTTCACGGCGTCCGCGTAGTATAAGCTACCACCACTATAACTGATGTGTGCAACCCACAGTAGCCCCTTCCCTGGGGCCTGGTGGACCCAGCTCATGCCGTAACTACTGATGGTGAATCCGGAGGTTGTACAGGAGAGTCTGAGAGAACCCCCTAGTCTGCACCAAGTCTCCCCCGACTCCACCAGCTTCTCACACTGGACACCTGCAAACACAGACACAGCAGTCAGGACACTGGCTCTTCGTTTTTGCTTCTCACCTCCTGTCCCCTCCCCTCACCAGGATTGCCTTCTCCCCAGCACTGACCCCCTAGAAGAGCCAGGAGGAGCAGCCAGCTCAGCCCACGCTCCATGGTGAGTGTCCACATCTGTCCTGACCCGAGTGGACGCTGGATCCTGGCTGGGCTCCTGTGCAGAGCTTCAGGGCCGGGCTGGGCTGTTTTCAGCTGTAGGGAAAGGCCTATTTGCATGTGTCGGGCCATATAGCAGGCTCTGGCTGGAGGCTGGGACAGAGGAGCCCAGGGAGTCTCTTGGAGTTTTGGGTTCATATGTATTATCAGCAGGTGCCATATTAGGGGTAGAGCTGGTGACCACTGAGCACCGGTCACTTTTTTACATGCAGGCCCAGGACTGTCAGATGTGATAGGAGACAATATTTCCCCTTTTAATATAGTGCTTTTAATGTGCTGATAACTTTTTTCACTCTGTGTCTGTCTCATAGTGTGGATTAACCCCACTTGTTTATTTTTATTTCTCCATGTCTGATCCATGTGAATATCCCAAAGCCAATCCGCAGTGTCTGGACTTTTCCTTCCCTGTGCTGATGCAGTTTATTTCCACAACCTCATAGAGGGAAGCGCCCACCTGCCCGGCGCCAGAGGCTCGGTCCAGGGAAACAGGCACATGGATGCCGGGACGCGCCGGTCAGCCATGCGGGACACACGCTCTGGATGGGACTTGACCCATCGGCACCGGAGACGGAACCTGCGCGGCGGGAGCCAAGGGAGGAGAAGCCGAAGAGCGGGAGCATCGGGGCGGCTCAGGGCGCTGGCAGGGGCGGCAGGCCCGAGGCTCGGTGCTGGGTGCTGAGGCGGCTGTGGCTGATGACTCCCCGTCACGCCCTGTGAGGAGCCGTCTCCTGGGCGTGTGGTTGTTCTCTCTCCCGGTGCCTCCGTCGCTCTCCTGTGTCTCAGCCGTCTCTGAGGAAAACCGCGG